TAGCCCCTTGATACATGGATGTGGCGACCCCATTGCCCTCAGGATCTCACAGGGGCCGGCTCTGAGTGACCAAGATGTTAATCCTCTGAGCAACCCCCTTCCTTCTGTTGAGGGCAGAGTCCTCGGGTATCAGGAGTGCCCGTGAGCTTCTAAGCCAGTCTGCTACCTCTGCCGTCCCTTTCTTTCATGAGTGGGCACAAGAATTCCTCCATGTGTTGATGGGTCTTTAATTCCATGCAAATATCACAGGAAGGATTTGGCTTTCTTGAAACAATCCCTTCCTTAATAGATTAGGTGTCTACTTGATGATTCCCAGCTTAGGTCAGGTTCCAGCAGATATTTAATTTCATTCTCACACCACTTCTGGGCCATAGTAAGAAATGACTTCCAATGTCCACCCTAATTACCAGGAAGTTATTTACTGAGATCATTATGGTTAGCATTGGACATGGAACAGAGGTACTGGTTTTTGTTTTGCTTTAAATTTTTCCCCTCCCTTGAAGAAAGGAATCTGGAGAAATTAAAGCTTAGTTTCCATTTGCCCCCTCCTTCTCAGTCCAGGAACATTTGAGATTATCATTAATGCTGGGTCACTTCTGACCCAGCCAACGCAATTGTTGAATTTGTGGCTTTCAGCAGATTTATAGTCTGGCGTTTCATCTTTGACTAATGATGACTACTAGGCTTTTGTGGCATATTCATTTTCCTAACATTTTAAATAAATAGTGAAATGTCATGGAAACCAGGGCTGGTTTCTTTCTTGTTCTCCGTGTGTGTCTGTTTTGGTTGTTTTTCTTCAGCAATGATTTCAGCTGCTGTTTAGCAGTGTGAAATATATATGACTTTTTGATGTTTCTAATGTGCATTTGGCCTGAGCTGTTATAATGAGCAGATTGACACAGACGTTGAGGAGCTTTCCAAGGGGGATTTAGTAAGATTACAGAGAAAGAACAGTCGTTTGAGTGATTCATTTGCTCATTGTATACAGTCCCCCAGGGAGTCTTACTGGAGTCCTACTGTGTGCCAAGTGCTGAGCCCTACACGAGGGAGCCCTGCGTCACTGCCCTCAAAAACCCAACCGGACATTTGGCTCAGGGCAGGGAGGGACAATGAGAAATGAGTAAGGGCACAAACAAGCACCGATTATAAAAGGTGCTGTAGGTCATGGGCACGTCCCTCAGTGTAAACACTGAGGGTGTATCGGTCCCGTGGCACCCAGTGTCTCCTGCAAATGAAGTTCATCAGGAAACTGAGTAACCAAGGAGAATTCAACGAGAGAATTGTTACAGAGGCACGGGCAGGATGCAAGTGAACCCAAAAGTGCTGACGGTGCCTTTGGCCATGGGGAGCAAGGGAAAGCCACAGTTCCCAGAACACCCTAGGAGTTGTGGCCTTCAGGAGCAGGGTGCTTCAGGGACATGGAAGGGAATACCTATTCTGACCTCTCTCTCCTCCTAACCTCCAGTCCCCTACTGCTATCTCCCACTGGTCAAGCCCAACTGGAGGGGCTGGCACTGTACACGTCAGGTGAAGCTGCCACCTGTGACACCAGCATCCTAACCGCTACACTTTTAACCTGGCTTCCTGCTAATATGCCTGGGGAAAACAGTGGGAGATGGCCTGAGTAGTTGGATCTCTACATCCACATGGAAAATCCTGAAGGAATTCCTAAATCCTGACTTTGGCCTGATCCACACTTGATTGTTGCAGCCACCTGGAGAAGGAACCAGTGGATGGAAGAATCTCTCTATAACTCTGACTTTCAAGTAAGAAATCTTTTCTTAAAAACAAAAACAAGGGCCTAACACAATAACCTAGTGGCTAAAGTCCTCGCCTTGTATGTGCCGGGATCCCATATGAGCACTGGTTCTATTCTCGGCAGGCCCTACTTCCCATCCAGTTCCCTGCTTGTAGCCGGGGAGAGCAGTCAAGGACAGCCCAAGGCATTGGGACCCTGCACCTGCATGGGAAACCCAGAAGAAGCTCCAGGTTCCTGCCTTCGGATTGGCTGGGCTCCGGCTTGGGGAGTGGGTCACCGGAGGGAAGAGCTTCCTCTCTGTCTCTTCTCTCTGTATATTTGCTTTAAAACAAAAACAAAAACAAGACAAAAATGACTGGCAGCCACAGGACAAGGGCATCCAGGACACGGGGCAAGGTAAAAAGGGGAGAGTCCAGATCTAGTGGGACAAACACAGGCTCCCTCTTGGGCAGAGCTTTCTTCATCTCACTTCCTATAATCTCACTGGCCCAGGGAAGTAAGTGCCTGAGTAACGCCCAGCTTTCAGATGGACACATTGAGGCTGGTGAGGTCGAGTGGGATTGGCAGGATCAGGATTTGGAGGAGACCCTAACACCCCAGCCCCTGGCAAAGAGGCAGGTGAGGAGCAGGTCACGTGCGTACCCTCTGCGTTGCATCGTGTAGCAGCTGAGAAGGTAAAGCTGTGTGCTGGGGAATTTCCGTTTCTTATTTCAGAGACTGCGTGCTGCCTTTCTGTTCCTCCCAGTTACTATTCTTCTGGCCAGTGACCAGGGCAGAAATTCAGCTCCAAATGACAGCTGGGGAATCATCACTGAGTCTCCTTCCAAGGAGTCGCCCCCCCACCAACCTCAAAGAGCCCTCTCAACCTGTCACCCCAGAGACTCCTTGCCAGGATGCAGAGTGTGTTTTGATGAACTCTATGAAAATAGTAACAATAATCCAAGCAAACTCAAACTGCTCAGGTTCTTGGGGCAAAAAAAGGAAATGGCAGAGACCAGGTTGGTGGGGTTGGGGTGACACTGAAGCTCAGTAGCTGAGATGAGATGCCAGCTTGAGAGGCCTGCTCCCACATTGCAGGGCCTGGGTCCAAGTCAGAGGTCCACTCACAACTCTGGCTTTCTCCCACTGCACATTGTCAGAGGGCAGAGGAGTATGGCGCTTGGCTTCAGCTGGCCCTTCCCTGGCTGTGGCAGGCATTTGAGGAGAGAAACAGCCGATGGAAGATCTCTTTCTGCTTTGCAAAAAAAAAAAAAAAAAAAAAAAAAAAAAAAAAAGGAAGTGGCAGAGTGGCAGGGACAGCATTGGAGAACAGACCAAGTCCCCATGTTCATTCCTGAGAAGATGAGGGAGACAGTTAGAGTCCTTGTTCCTGACTGGGTCCCTGAGGACATGTGGGTGCAGGACAAGGCCCAGGGGTTGCTTCCTGCTGAGGAAATGTCACCATGAAGGGCTGGCTGTCATAGATACAATCATATAGCATGCGGGTCTTGGTGTCTGACTGCCTTTGCTTGGGGACCTGATTTCGAGGTTATGTGTGTGCTGGCCCCGTCCTCCAGTGTTTTCTGTTTCGCTGAGTCCTCCATGATGGGGAGGCACCATGCTTTCTTTGCCATTCTTCTGCTGAGCCACTTGTATGTTTCAGCGATGCTGAGCAGCGCTGCTGGGAGCCCTGGGTTCATGTTTGTGTGTGTTGTGCATTCTTCCTTCTGTCTGGTGTGCAACCAGGAGCTGTGCTAGGTGTGAAGCCATAGCTCATGGCTAACATTTCGAAGAATGGCCAGACGATTTCCATAAAATGTTCTTTATCTGTGCTATTTTTTGTGTGTTTTAAAATCATCTCATGTGATATTAACAAAGTTGCTCTAGCTTTCTTCTGATTATCCCTTGTCTTTTTTTTTAAAGATGGTTTAATCACAAATGTTTACACTCACAAATTGTGTATGAGTTAGTTGCTACTACAAATGCATGCTGTGTGAACTTGATCTTTTTACTCAACACGCAAAGACCTATTTTGCATGTAATTATAATTATTTGTGATCAATGATGCATAATAGTCCATAGTATGATCTGCCATAGTTTATTAATTCATTCTTCTCTCTGTGAGTAGTTGGCATGTGTCCAGTGTGGATACTTTTTTTTTTAAAGATTTATTTTTTTATTGGAAAGTCAGATATACAGAGAGGAGGAGAGACAGAGAGGAAGATCTTCTGTCCGATGATTCACTCCCCAAGTGAGCGCAACAGCCGATGCTATGCTGATCCAAAGCCAGGATCCAGGAACTTCTTCCGGGCATCCCACAAGGGTGCAGGGTCCCAAAGCATTGGGCCGTCCTCGACTGCTTTCCCAGGCCACAAGCAGGGAGCTAGATGGGAAGTGGAGCTGCCGGGATTAGAACCAGTGCCCATATGGGCTCCTGGCGCGTTCAAGGTGAGGACTTTAGCTGCTAGGCCACTGTGCTGGGCCCAACAACTTTATTTTAAAAAAAAGATTTATTTATTTTTATTGGAAAGGCAGATATATATAGAGAAGGAGAGACAGGAAGATCTTCCGTCCGATGATTCACTCCCCAAGTGACTACAACGGCTGTTGCTGTGCTAATCCGAATCCAGGAGCCAGGAGACTCTTCTGGGTCTCCCCATGGGTGCAGGAGCCCAAGTTTTGGGCTGTCCTTGACTGCTTTCCCAGGAAGCTGGATGGGAAGCGGGACTGCCAGGATTAGAGCAGGCGCCCATATGGGATTCCAGTTCATTCAAGGCGAGGACTTTAACTGCTAGGCCACCGCACTGGGCCCAGTATGGATACTTTTATTATTTATTTTTTTTTACTGGAAAGGCACATTTACAGAGAAAGAAGGAGAAAAAGATCTTCCATCTGCTGGTTCACTCCCCAAATGGCCGGAGCTGAGCTGATCCAAAGCCAGGAGCCAGGAGCCTTTTCTGGGTCTCCCACGTGGGTACAGGGTCCCATGGCTTTGGGCCATTCTCCACTGCTTTTTCAGGGCATAAGTAGGGAGCTGGGAGGGAAGTAGAGCAACCAGGACAAAAATAAGCACCCATATGGGATGCTGACTGGTCTTGCCCACAGAGAGGCAGGGGCATGGCTGTTGGTTTTTCTTCTCCATCTCTACCCCTGCCCTACCTGCTGCCAGCTGTGCCATGTCTGAGGATGTGGAGCCACAGCATCACACGGGCTGCCCAGCTGCCCTGGAGTGGATCCTTGTTCCATGTGCCTGTTTCCACAGGAGTACATGCTCCACCTGCTGGCCCTGGAGCACCGCGCTGAGGAGCAGTTCCTGGAGCACTGGCTGAACCCACACTGCAAGCCCCACTGTGACAGGAACCAGGTCCACCCCGTGTAAGGGGGGCGGGAGCAGGCTGGTACGTCCACTTCTCCTCAGCCTTCTACCAGAAGGATATGGTAGCAGGCAGCATGCACATGGGTTGAGGCACCTGCTGGATCCTGGCATCAGGGGACTGGCTGGCTAACTCATGGGATGGGGAATCAGGAGTGATGCAGGGGAGGAAGGCTGAGAGGAGCACTGAGGCATGCACTCGGGAGATTGGGAAGTCAATGAGAGACTCTCCAGAGGGGAGGGATGTGGCCTTCTTGGTTGTTCAGCAGAGATTGTTCTGGAACCCAGGGCAAGTGGGGCTTGCTGAGGCTTGACTCTCTCCAGGTGGGGTCAGCATCTGAGGGCTCAGCCTTGGGTCTTGCTCCCTTGAAACAGAGCGAATAACATCACCATTGTTCTGAAGATTAAAGATTTCAGTGCATGGAAAATAGTGCTGCCTGGCATAGTCTCAGGAGTTGCTCGGGTAATGACAGATGGGTGGCTATTTCCTTCTTATTAGCCTCCTCCCCCACCTTCTTGCTGCTTCATTACCACCATCACCACCCCCTCCCTCCCATCATCATCTTAACATTTGTTTTTCTTGTTCTTTTCCAGCAAACATTGTGATAGGTGATGATCCGGATAATGTCAACACAGGATGGACTTCTTTCATTGGTTTTCAAATTGCGGTGATGGATTTCTTCAGACTTTGTGATGGGTGGTTGTGCCCACGCTTGCCTTGGGACTGGCAAATATATATGCTGCTTCATTATTCTATCCTATGCAAGTCATTGCAATGAATAGCTTTTAAGGTGTAGATCCCATGTTCCCAACATCTTCCTACTGGATGATAGGCTGAGCAGATGCAGACTCTTTCCTGGGGCTCTCTGGACTAGGAACCAGGGACGGCTTGTTCAGAGAAGTGACGCACACCACTTGGGGCTGTTGAGTTTTTGCTTGACCATTTGTCTCTTTCTTTCTCTGTTCTAATAAACATTGATGTCAGATCTGCTTTCTGTGGTGTCTTCTTTCTTTCCCCTACAAGAAGAGATGCCAAGATTTCCTTCCCTTATTTATCTGTGAAAATCCAGCAACCTAAATCCTACTTTTCTTTGAATACATAAATGGAAGAAAACCCCAGGATCCATTTGCTTTGGGCAAAGGCCATTTTTCTTTGCAAAGAAAAGAGAAACTTTGTTCCAGGCTGTCTCTGAAAATAGGGTCAGAATGTGATGCCATGGGCAAAGAAGACAACTTTTATTTTTTTTAAAGATTTATTTATTTATTGGAAAGTCAGATATACAGAGAGGAGGAGAGACAGAGAGGAAGATCTTCTGTCCGATGATTCACACCCCAAGTGAGCGCAACGGCCGATGCTATGCCGATCCAAAGCCAGGAGCCAGGAACTTCTTCCAGGTATCCCACATGGGTGCAGGGTCCCAAGGCTTTGGGCCATCCTCGACTGCTTTCCTGGGCCACAGGCAGGGTGCTGGATGGGAAGAGGGGCTGCCGGGATAGAACCGGCACCCATATGGGATCCCGGGCGTGCAAGGTGAGGACCTTAACCACTGCGCCACCGCGCCGGGCCCTCCAGTGGTTTTTAAAAGGTGAATGCTTTGAGATCTGGGAATATGTTTTTATCGTATGGGGGACACAATTGTATCCCATACCTAGTATGGGCATCAGTTGAGTGCTAGATACTGTCCATGGGCTCTGACACGGAATGCTGCCACTGGCCAGGAGTGCATGGGGAAAGTGGTGGGAAGATGCTCCCACTTGGCCATTTTCCCACTGGCCCCTCAGAGTATAACAAGTAGAAGATGAGGGCTGGGCCTGGTAGTGCAGCAGCTTAAGCTGCCACAGGTGGCACGAGCATCCCACATCACAGCACTGGCTTGAGTCCTGGCTGTACCACTTCCCATCCAGCTCCCTGCCAATGGTTTGGGTCCTGCCTTCAGCCTGGCTCAGCCTTGATGTGGCCATTGGGGAAGTGAGCCAACTGATAGAAATCTCCCTCTGTATCTTTATGTCTCTCCCTCTGCCTTTCAAACAAATCTTAAAACAGAAATGTGTGCATGTGGGACTGCATGCAAGGGAACGAGACCCCTCAGGTCCCAGCAAAGATTAGAGTGTGGCAGTGCAGGCCTGGCGGCCAGGGTCTTACATCTGAGAAGGCGAGAGGCCTTCCTTAGGGTCCTGGAGAGCCCAGGTGAGGCTGTTGTGTCAGGGGCATAACCCCGGGGGGCTGCTGTAGCAGCCTCAGAGGGAGGTTCCCAACCTCCCGCCCCTGGATACACAGGTACATGTAGGCACTTAATCATGATTCACGAATTGAGGCCTGCAAAGGAAACGGCTCACAGTGAGCTCCCTGCAGCTTCGCTTCCCCAGTTATCCCCCGCCACCAGCTTTCCGGAAGGCAGCTGAGCCAGCGTGCAGAACCCAGGCACCCCGATTTGGCAGGCTGTGCACCAAGGCGCTGCACTGTTGTGCTTCAACACCTGTCCTGGCAAGCACGACTGGTGGGCATGGCATCTCACGCCTCGCCCAGGCCAGGCCCGTACGTGGCGTTCTGTGAACGGTTATTATTTGAGTGGAGGCTGGTCTCCCGGCCCTCCCTGTACCCACCCGAGCCTTGCCCCTACAAACACAGCCCCCCCCATGAGAGGGGTGAAGCGCCTTTCTCTGAGGGGCACCAGGAGATGACGTCACGGGAGGCGCCGCGGGAGCTGAGGCAGGAAGGCAAGGCGCTGTGGGGCTGGTGGGAACGGGCCGGAAAATCTCTTCAGGCTCAGAGATAAGCTCAGTGCCTTGCGGCGTCTGCCCGCGGCTCGGCTCCACACCTCTTCCCGCAGCGTTCCCAGGTGAACAGGGCCCCTGCTGCTCGTGGTTGCAGGCCACGGTGCTCCTTTATTTTTCGTGTGTCAGGGCCCGTGGACACGGGTCAGGCAGGCCTGACCTCAGGGGGCTTCCTCCCCAAACAGGAGCCGAGACGGTGTGTGAGGCCCGTTTGGAAGCTGTGCAGGCGTGGGAGGCGTAAACAGGTGCCCTCCTTGGAGTGGCTTGTCGGGCCAGGCTTCCTCGAGGGGCACTCGCTGTGACTCGAAGGAGTTTGATGGACAAAGGAGCCGGGGGGAGGGGTGGGGTGGACCGTGCGGGACGGGGAGGACAGAGTGGTTGCAGGCTGTCAGCGTGTGCAAAGGCCTGAGGTGGAGAAAGGACCTGGTTTGTTCTAGAAGCTTCCAGAGGTTACAATAACCTCCCCCTGAAGACCTGGAAGGCAGGCGGGGCGAGGTCTACAGGCCTTGCACAGCTCAAGGAAAAATCTTTTGGACATTCACTCAGGGACGCAGGGAAGCCACAGGCAGGACCTTCCCTTCAGATGGGAACACAGGTCCGGCCCGTGGAGGCAGCCAAGCCCCTAGACTCACCTGATGGGAACTGTAAGTCTTCCGTGGAGAGGTTCGTTCTTACAGTGTGGCCCCGGGTAGCCAGCAGGCAATGGTAGAGCAGCAGGATTCCCCGGGTCAGGCAGCCTGCACTCCGCCGGCCCTTCCGAGGACTGCAACCCGGGGCTTGGCCAGGCTTCCCGTGAGCATGGGGAGAAGCTGAGACCTCGGCAGGCCTCTGGAGTCTGGGTGCTTGACCTCCAACAAACATGTTTTAAGCACCCACTGTGTACCTTGCCTTGTTGTTTCAGGGGGCAGAAATGGACAGATATGGCTGAGCCTCTGAAGAATCCTTGCCATGAAGGTGGTGGGACATGAACTAGGTAGCCCAGGGATGTGTAGTTCCCTCATGGCGTCGAGTGACTCTGACCACTGTGGTCACAGGGCATTCTGTCATGCCCAGTTCCTTCTCGTTTCTCCCTCCAGGCTCTGGCTACTGCTAGTCTGCTTTCTGAACTGATGGATCTGCTTGTTCTGGACATTTCATTGTCAGTGGAACCACACACCATATGGTCTTATCTACCTCAGTGTGTCTTTGAGGTAGGGTTGTTTCAGGATTTGGTGGCTTTTCATGGTTGGAAACTCTTCTATCACGTGGTGCTAGCACATTGTGATTACCCAGGCATCAGTTGAACGTGTGAGCTGCCTCCCGTTTTGAGCTCTTGGGAGTTTGCTGCCATGCACATCCATGTTCATGAACATTCCTGATTATAGTTCTCTGAGTAAACACCCAGGAGGAGGAGTGCCGGGCCACATGGCCATTTTCCATTTAACTTTCTAAGTGACCACCCACTAGCTGCCCCAAGAGACATTCCCAGCAGCAAGGCGTTGAATATTCCAGCTGCCCCACGTCCTTGCCGATAACTTCTTACTTCCTACTAAGAAAAAAAAAAATAAAACTAAGGAGCAGGTGCTGTGGGTGCAGTGAGTCAGCCGCACCTTGCAACGCCCACATCCCGTACTGGAGTGCTGGAGTGAGTCTGGGCTCCTCCACTTGCACTCCAGCTTCCCACCAGTGCACCCCAGCAGGCACTGGACTAAGCACTTGGGCCCTTGCCAGCCACGTGCAACTTGGCTAGAGCTCTGGGCCTTTGGCTTTGGCCTCGCCCAAGCCTAGCCACTGTGGGCATTTGGGGAGTGAGTCAGCAGGTGGAAGACCTCTGTCTTGTTCTCTTTTTCTCTGTGTCTCACTGCCTTTCAAGTAGACGAAAAAAATATTAAAAATTAAGTCATCCTAGTGGGTAGGAAGGGATAGCTTATGGTGGTTTTGTATTCCCCTAATTTTAAATGAATGTTTTCTGTGCTGATTGGCTATTGGATTCCCTTCTTTGAAGGAAGGCCTATGTACGTTCTCTGCCTAATTTTGAATTAAGTCATCTTTTGTTGCGTGACCGATGGTTTGTATGTGTGGGAATGGAGGGTGGTAGCTCAAGAGAGTTTTGGAACTTTTCCTTCCTCAGTTTCCCTTTCTGTCTAAAGGGGATGATGAGGGGGCCTTTGGCATGGGGAGGCTGTGCAGATTCAATGGAGGGAGCTTTTGGGACTTGGCCTGGCATGGAGTGGGTTTGTGCTGTGTAACTGATAGGTCTGACCCATGAGATGAGACTAACAATAGTAACGGACCAAGAAATTACCAGAGATTAATAACTGCTGGGAAGTAAATAAAAGAGTGATGCAACGAGGAGTGACGGGAAGGCTATTTTGGGCTAGCCGGCAAGGAAGGCTTTTCGGAGGAGGCGACATGTCAGCTGACACCAGAATGACAGGAAGGAGCCAGGTGTGTGCTGATCCACGTACAGGAAGGGCAGGCCAGGCTGAGGGACCAGCTGGGGCAAAGGTCCTCGGGCCTGGCCTGTGCCAGGGTCAGCTGGGGGTGAAGGCCAGAGCTGCTGGGACCTAGGGCTGGGGGATCGTCCTGGTTGACACAGGCTGAGGTTGGGAAGCCAGGCTGTGCTTGGCGTTGTGTGGGGTGATGGTGAAGGGCTTGGCAAGACTCAGAGCAATGGAAGAGGTGTTCCTCTCAGGTGGGGTGGCCGCCCTCGCAGGTGCTTAGTGGCACACGCCAGGGCTCCTCTGTCTCCATGGGTTCTTCCCTCCTGGGGCTGCATAGGCAATAAAGGGCATGGGGAGCAGGGCTGGGGCATGAGGAGCACCTTGGGCCACCCCTCGGCACACCAAGGGCACACGCAGCCTGGCGCGGAGGCCAAGTGGGCGCTGCCGGCGGCTGCGCACTCGCATTGTGCTTTCTGTGTCTGTGAAGTGGAAGAGTACCAGCTCCTCCCTCAGAGCAATTTAGTTATTTACTTCAAAGATTTGTTTTGTTTAAAAGGAAGAGTTAGAAATCTACCATCTGCTGGTTCACTCCCCAGATGGTCACAAGGACCAGGTTGGACTGAAGCCAGGAGCTTCCTCCAGGTCTCCCAAGAGGCTGCAAGGACCCCAAAGCATCACGCCCTGCTCTGCTCTGCTGCTTTCCCTGGCCACAAGCAGGGAGCTGGATCTTGAACCAGCGCCAACATGGGATGCTGGTGTTGCCGAGTTAGCTTAACCTGCTATGCCACAAGCCTGA